CAAGAAAGCGCCGTGGGCCCTTGTCCTTTTGGGCTTTTTCTAATCTCATTGGACTCTACTTATGGGCAAAATATCGGCTTAAAAGCTTTGAATCACTTCGAACGGTTCCCTCGTAAGTTTTAAATGGATCCGACTTTATCCCTGCTTCATCCCTCCCACTAATAGTGAGGGTGTGGGTGGGATGTGGGTGTGAAGTATGGGTATCGGTGTGGATGTAAACTAAAGTTAAACAGACATCTAAACACACGCTCACATCCATATCCTATATAGTGGATAAGATTTATACTAATTGGATGTCAGTATTACAGAATTATCTATGAAGAGGACATACGTGGCGCATCTAATCATCTAAAATAACAATCAAATTATTTGTGAACTACATGCTCCTACAACTAATATTTTATATACTGATCTAGAACAAAATGATCGAAGCAAGTCCATAGTAGCAATAAAAAGTGTACTCATTTCGTATCGAAATAACACTGGTTGACGGAGTTGCAACTTCAATATTAACTATTAACGACGTGGCTTCAATTGAATTAAATATCACTTAATTGATTATATTAAAAATGATGTAAGATATGCCATAAATAACTTTAAAATAAAATAAAAATCATTTTCACATTGGTTCACTGAATCGAGCTGATTTTTTTCCATGAATAGAGGAAATTTGAGAATTTTTTCATTGGAATATTGTCAATAGATGGTTCTTTGAGCTATCATTTTTCAATGAAATATAAAAAACTGATTTCGTCAGAGTTTGGGCAGTTGTGAGCAATGATTGATATTGGGCAAGGTACTCTGTGTTGTCCTATGACAACAAATTATCTCAAATATTTATCCAGATTTTACATAGATGTTTTTTGACAAAGTTATCCGAAACTTAAATAAAATTTGTTTTCGATTCGAGAAATGTATTGACTTTGATTAATTAACGTTCCCTTTTGCGTAGTCAATTTTCTATCAACTCCTTAAGTATACAAACGGATATCATATTACGCAATTTCGAATAAATTACACTAACACTTATTATATTTATCTAAAATGTTGTTCTTTGTCTACAACAACTTTTCTTTTATACTTCTTTATGGAAATTTTCATGTAGAAGATGACTTTGGAGTGCAATAAGTTTCTGTTTCTTGCAAGCGAAATATAACACAAGTTGTTTCTCCTTTATTATTTTTCGTTCTACTTTAATACATTAAAATTCCGTTAAAGTCAATTTCATTTAAATAATAATTGATCATAATCAGGATATTTTTGTATAATAAAATAAGTCTCTTGTGAACTTGTTTGTCATTTGTTTTCATTCAACGATAATCGATATATAAAGTGAACATTATTCGGTAAATATGTGTTCGTGTCAATTAGAAATTGTTTTCGGTAAGATGAGAAGAATATTTTAATGATTAACAAATCTTCATTATCAATCTTTGATTTTTTTTTTGTTTAATTTATTATTTTATGCTTTCTTATTAGCTAAAGTTAAATTATTCATAAATGGCATTTAAATAATCCACTGAAAAAATTATTTGTTAGATTATTTTAAAAATGTATTGTTTCTTATGAATATGAATAAGTATGATATTGACTTTCATTTGCATCTGGAAAATGAGCAACACAAGAAATAATTTGATTGTTCAGAGATATATTAAATATAAATTTATTTAATTGACTGTCACAACAAATGACTAAATATGATTTTTGAATATATGATTTAGAGGAGCTTTTACTAAATAAAAGTACACAAATCATTGAGAAAACAATTAGTCGTTTTTCATATCGATCAAATCATAATATCTAATTAGTTTTTTATTCCGCTTGTTTTCATTTTTAATTAATAACACTCTCTCGTAAATATTGAATCTCATAAAATTCTATCATTGTTTATTCACGATGATCAGTAATGTGTTCGATCTTAGTTATTCATACCTATATTCTTTTTTTCGAAAATCTGTTTTAAAAATTCTAACTGACGATAAGAAAAGATCTTTGCGCTCTGGATCAATTTTTTGGAGTTTTTTATCAACATACTTTTGTCATGAATACGCAACCGCATACTAACAGTCACTGTTGGAGAAATGGAGTAAGTATCGACGAATTCAATCGACCTGTTTAGATGACAAGAGTGGCGTATTAATCGAAATCATTCTTGCGATTATTTCAACTTTTTGAGCGAATGAGTTTGAATAGAGCGTTGAATGATTTTCTGACGAAGTCCATAATTCTAGACAGCTCTTCCTCTTGAACGTAATTATTATGTTTAAATGATTTTGCGAATGAATCGATATTACATTTTAAGATTTATAACTTAACAGTTGAAGAACAGCAAGAGACGTTCAATGAATACCATTGTCAATCAGCCTAGTTATTTATGACAATGACAGTGAATACTCTGTCGTTTCTGTCCTTCTTGGTTGGGATATTTGCACACTTCTCTTTAGTTTGTCATTCAGCCTAGATTGAAATCAACATCATATGTTTGTTTATTCTGTTTTGGCAAAGGTGATGATCATATGAATCATTGGTAGAACACGCACATGTTACTTGTTGTGCACACTTTCTTTCGATTCTTTTTTCAAAAAAAAAGATGGCCTAGTTGTATGAAGTGTCCTTGTGTAATTTTATATGCGCAGAAAATATTCGATAAGCAATCAACGAATAACACACGTTGTTGATTGCCAGTAGTTTATTTTATTTTTTACTTTCATAAGGCACATAATAGTCAATACACTTATACGAAGCAATTTTATATCAACGCGATGTTATCACGTTGTCGAGCCCATTTCGAAAGCAAATCTTTAAAGCAGTTTTAGAGTGAATAACGACCGACGATGTTAATAGAAGATGTCGTATGGAAAGAAAATGCTAAACACATTTTTTGCACATTTTGAAGAAATTTCTACGAGAGACAAAGTCAAATATTATTTATATGGGCCTCTTCTGATTGTTGCATTGGGACAAGCATGACTGGTCAGTTAAATATGTTAATGAATCCTAAAACTTTAGCGACTTCCATCCATTGTTGACTGAGCTCTCTTATATAAATGTTATTTTCAGAGATATTCTTAAAAATAAGATATGATTCACATCATTGTCCTAGGAAAATTTTTACTTTAGGATTTCGAAGAAGGAAGACTTTTCGGATATGATGGCAGAGAAAAGAAAACAACTATTACAGAATAACTTTTGAGACATGATAAAGAAAAGATTCTCAACATCATGCATTCACACCTGGGACTCACCGTTTTCGAGATTTGCGACTTCCTTCGTTTGATAATTTAGGCCGAGTTGTACAAGACCCGATCGATTCTGAGTTTGACACAGTTTCTCTGACGCATATTGTGTAGAAATATGAAGACTTCTTTTTTTTAGAGAATATACCTCAACAAGGATGATTTTTCATTTTTTTCCGAAATTTATCAATAAAATTTCGCTGAATTTGCATAGTTGAAGATGTGGGTGAATAGTAATGATATGACTTTAACAAATATTTATAAGACTCAGACGTGATCATGAATACTCGAACAGCAACGGAAAGTGTTCTTCTTCTATTTAATGATACATAAGAATACATTGTGTCTATTCGTTCTTTTATAGATTGATGTTTTATGATAACATTCACGCACGTATATATTTTCTCTTTTGCTTCCTTTCACTTCTGACTTAAATTTGTTTTTTTAACACATAAGTCCATTCACTTAAGCATGGCATCTTCAGCAGTAAAAAAGTTACCTTGTATTACATGTGGCAAAGCAGCGGGTGTATTTACATGTCGTGGGTGTTTAAAAGATTTTTGCACACGTCATGCAACCGAGCATCGACATATGTTGGATCAGCAAATGGAAGAAGTCACTCTCTGTCACGATCAATTAAGGCAAAATTTTGATGAGCAAACAAAAGAACCTCGCCAACATTCTCTCATACAGCAAATCGATGAATGGGAACAAAATTCTATTGAGAAAATTCGCCAAGTAGCCGAAAATGCTCGCAAACAACTACTGAATGCAATCAGTAAACATTCGATTAAGATGACCGAAGTTTTAGGAGATCTCACACAAAAGTTGACCAAAGCTCGTGATGATGATGATTTCGTCGAGACAGATTTGAAAGAGTGGATAGACAAACTTAATAAAATAAAAAATGATTGGACTGCACCACAAACGATCAGCATTCAGCAAGATGTTAGTGAGGTGTCATTCATCCGAAAGATTACTATAAATGATTGGTCAAATGACTGTCTAGAAAAATCAGCTGGTGATATTCGAATTGAAGAAAATGGACTTGTGATCGTTCACGGTCCATCGCAAGACCATGCAGCAGTGCGTGGTAGATGCCAATACTCATTTGGACAACACCGATTTCGTTTCAAGATTGAGAAATTAGATACCACGAAATGGGTGTTTTTCGGCATCAAGCCGAAAGATGCCCCCATGATGTCAGACTCAGCCAACACCAGTACAGCTTATGGCTGGGCTGGAGGAAATGCTGTTCTGCTCAATGGTGTTGTCCATTCAAACTATAATGGCTATATCAGTGATATGGAAATGAATGACATAATCGAATTAATTGTCGACTGTGATGGAAAGAAATTACGTTTAATGAACGAACGAACACACAGCACACATGAACTCAATGTTGATGTGACGAAATGTTCTCTTCCATGGCAACTCAACCTTGGTCTTTATTACTCAAATGATCGTATTCGTATGACTGATTAAACATTGCGCAATTGAACGTTGTTCAGTTTTATATTGCTTTTGCTAAGTCTATAGTTTCATTTTAACTGTTAAGTTTATAAAAGTGAACCAATAAAGTAATCAGTATTTCATGACATACTCGATAGTTTTCACACATCACAAATTCGATTGTATATCTGACTGTTGAAGAGATTAGGCATATCGATTCACAGAAAATAGGCTCTCAAATTCGAAACATTTCACTGCATGTTATCAAGAACATGATTTCTACGTTCAGTAAAGAAAGCAATATAAAGGAGACGTACCAAATTTCCAGTATTGATACTTCATCGAACCAGGACATGCAAATATGGATAAAGGAAAAATTCACGCCCACACAATAGACATCACTAATAAATTAGAAATGATCGATAGTTCATAGATCTATTGTATTTTTCGATCTTATGTACTAGATAATTTTTCTCTCAAAAAGATGCTAAATACGTCTGTATAGCTTCTATTTCGAATCGTCTTTTGCAAACAAGGAAGTACGATAAGCAGTCAAGAAATTATGGTCATCAGGCAGAGAACACTGTAATTTTAATAACCAAAGTAAGAATTTTTTTTAAATTTCAGTGTATAACGTGTTGTCTAACTTAAGGAATGTTTACTAACAGTACTTTGCAAATATACGTAATAAAAAAATCCTTTTTAAATGCTATTTAGTTCAAGACTATTCTTTTTAAATTAGCTATTAATTTGCATGAAAACGGTACATTACACTAAGAGTATATAGAAAGCATGTTTCATTCACTGAATTACAAGACGCAGCTTATAAAAAATTCATCAATTTTTGTTTTAAACTACAATCAAGAGAAGGGTGTAGAAATCAACATGCTGTATCTTTTGATAAGAAATGCTCCATCGTGTATTGTTTCTCATCTCATGTCATATATTTACAAAAAAAGATGTCGCGAAAATTTCCATTACACCCAGTACCCTCATAAAAAAATGTAATGTTATCGCCAAACTTCGTTTCTTTTATTGTGAAAGATTGCATTGAAAGCAACATGTTTAATCCCATATGTTATCTTTTTTTTATGCATAATCTATCATTTTTTTTTCTTTTCTTCATACTATTAAAAAATATCGAAACAGAGTAACTATTATTGCCAACATAGAAGAAATTCAAAATCATCTCAATACGATTGTCCTCCAATCTCATTGTTATAATCATTCATAAGTGTATACTTTTGAGGCAACTTATCACTAAGAAATATGCCATTACATACATTGAGCATTGTTGATTATGTTTTTCTTGTAATTCTTCTTCTGCCATCGATTATTATCGGGGCGGGTTTGAGAGTGGGACTCAAGAGAAGATTTTGACCCACACCCACACTCCGCCTTACACAATATCAGAGAAAGAGGCGTCCCTTGTCTCTTCTTTTCATTGATGAAAACTGTAGGTCTTCAACTGATTGTGTTCTTGAGTTATTCAATAAACAGTGGGGTCCATTTAAGTCTGCCACCGACTATAGTAACAGATAAGTGATAAAGATTAGCTAACAATAATAAATAGCCAATGTAAATAGCAACCATTTATATGTTGCTAAATAGGTATTTTTTCGATCATAAAAGCACTTACTGTTATCAACGGTAAATGGAAGTAAAGAAAACAGTAAATATGACACCTCTATTGATGAATGTAATCCATATGCTGTTATTACTCTACGAGAAACTGAAAGAATAAACAATTACTATATGAAATTCGACAAAATCTTAAAGAACTTAAGAGCGATCTTAAAGTTTGTTTTAGTATTTGAATTAATATTTTTAAGAATTCATGTTAATATTGTAGAGTGAACTAGCTATATAATATGTGATTAACATTTTATAAGAATACTTCTATCTCAGTATTGTACCATTTGAATGGGCTAAATTGACCATACGCATCGCGTCATTCATTAGGGTGTTGATGTGGGGCATGAGTTTGTGAGTATAAGACTAATAGTTTTAACATTCACACGAATTTACCCACATCCACATACCACATCAAAGCGGCTTTGGTTGCAATTTTTCGTAATAAAATCTACATTATTATTCGTCATATTTTTGTTGTCATTAGCAGAGCTGTGAAATTGTACGATACCCTATGAATGCTTCATATTGAGATATATATAGTGCAGGTATATTTTTACCGTGCGAGAAGAATTGAAGTTTTTTTTCATTGGTACGTCAATCAATAATAATAAATACACAAAAATTATAATAGCGTCTCAATATCCACAAATGAGTGACTGGACGACAGCAGAAAGTAACCCATGTTCCCGCCAATATAGATCGAGCACGGCAAACAGCAACAGAATCTTTTTGAATGATGCTTTTTCTGTCGATACTAAAGAATGTCAATTCAATGACGAGAATAACAAGAAGTGAGAAGCATTGATAATTAATTGAGTTTCCATATAGATTAGATTACTATGTTTTTAGTCGAACATTATCAAGCAAACTATTACAATATTTCAGATTATTATCACCATGCTTCTATGGTCTATTATTAAGTGCCCTTGCAGGTGGTATAATATTGGCCATTGTAATTGCACTTTGGTCAACATCTAAGAACATATCGACAACACAAAGTTAGTATAAGAATTCTTCTCCAAAACTTTCATTCATATTTCATTAGCTGATATCGTTTGAAGAAACGCCTCAATATTGAAAAATCTATTACTCTGTTAGTTTTCGTCACCTTTAGAATATTTAACGTTTTCCAAAGCTAAAGGAAACCAAGGAATAACGGATGTCACGAGCTGTTTGATCTCTTCTAACAGTAAGCTCTTCGTCTTCTCCATTAGATATATATTAAGAATAGTACGAGCATAAATTTTAAACTTTCGCAGAGAATATCGATTAGAAGATTGTGCATTTTTTGCAATAAATTAACATAAAAATTAACTAAATTATGTAAAAAAGAATAATTTGATTAAGATATGTGGCAGTACGAAGTGAATACTTGTAGTGGCTAGACAATCCTTTTGTCATATGCAGAATTTATAAATATTCAAAACAAGTTGAAATCTGAAGGTTTCTCAATATATTCATTGAATAAATCTTCTTACCATCTGTAAATTGAAAAACTGTGCTTAAACAATTGTATTAGAACGAAAAGAATGTTTGGAATAAATTTATATTTTAATTAAAAGAGATAGGGGTTCTTTTTTGCACCCTAAAATAATCATGCATTGTTTGATTGCTTGTTTTTCTTTTGGGCACAGCTATAAAGATTGAATTTTATTGTTTTTCAATTATAATTTATGCAGAGAACGTCAGAAGCCTTCAACGAATGTTTTGTCTGTTTCATTTCAATGTATCTTAGAAACTCTTATATTATTCAAAACTATGCATATACTGCTGAGACATGATTTAAACAGTTTCGATGTCTACTCACAATAATACAGCAAAACACCTTTAATTTTGAAATTCTCATCAGTATTAAATTTTATGATAGCATTGTACTAGTCTATTTCATTTAAAAAAAACATTATTAAATTGTCGATGTCATGAATAACAAATAAAAGAAATCTCTCAGATATCATGTTCTTCTTGAAAAAATGATGATATATAAGTGGAACTAGTGAAATATAAAAATGATCTTACATTTCTACAATGAAATGAAATGAACAAAATGTTTTATCATTATCTGTGTATATAATGTATGGTTCTAAAATATACGACTTTCTATCAAGTGATTATCTCGAAAAAAAGGTCGCATTGAAACTTTGAATTTATTCTTGAGTTACTTGAGAACTACTAACTTCTTTGAAGAGTAAGATTTCTTATTTGCAACTTTTTGCCTGTTGCTAATATATATATGCTATTTTCTTAGCTCGGTGAGTTCAAAAGCATTTTAAAAATACAATAGCGTTGGTTATGCATTGAAAACAATCATATCTCAAGTTATTTTCGCGCCTCTAGATTGCATATCCCTTAGATTCTCAGGATTCGCAGAGCTTTGCTCTTGGGAATACGCTGATTTTTCCTTGTATTTAATCTTAATAACAATTAAAGTAAGAATTGCATTGAGAGCCACCACTACCACGACAACTTTAACAACATCCACGACAACAACAACAACAACAACTTTTACAACAACAACAACAACCTCAACAACATCAACAACGACATCGACAACCTCAACAACATCAACAACGACATCGACAACCTCAACAACATCCACAACAACCACAACAACGATCCAGACAACAGCTACAACTTCAACAACTACCACAACACAAATGCCTGGTATGTACTATTTTCATTTCTCAGAACTGAGTGTTTTAGGAAGAATTTTTTCCTTCATAATAATGTTTTACGTAGAAAAATCCTTAATCAGTCAGAGTATCTTTTTCAAATAGCATTGGTGCATAATGTTTTGTATCTAAAGGATTCAAATCCTTTTATCTCATTCTAAACTCTAGAGTATTTTATAAAAACAAAAGCATAATGCTGTCTGAAAATGTTACATTTCAAAACGGAAATTCTCTCAAGTGATATAGAACATCGGAGGGTTGACAATAACAGCAAGACATCGTTTTCATACATAAAAAGCTACCCGTCCCAATCATCGGCTCATACATACTAAACCTGCAACTGGACTTCAACTTAAATTTCAACGTTCAAAAACTCTAACAAAGGAGGTCGCGCTCAGCGTGGACTCATAGAAAGCACCAGTACGTAGGAAAATAAATATAAATTATTATTTTTCTTTTATTCTTATTGTCACCATATTTTTTCTAGTATTTTTTTTATGAAGAACACACATCTAAAACCAAAACAAAAAAGATTTGAATATTATAGAGCAATCCATAGACCTCGGAAACCTTAAATAGAGAGTCAAGGCCAGAAGTAAATTGTAGAATAACGGTGTACATGTACTTACGACCGTAAACAACTGTAATGAAACCGTATGCTAGTCGTGTACGGTCTTCCAACGATGTCATAACGTCGTCCGTTTTGATCAATCTGAGCAGGTTTCACACTAGTAACATGACTATAGATTGTTGAGAAGCGAATGATACATGTTTGTTTTTCATAAATTGAATTGAAAAACATATTTGCTGGTAGGATGGTCGATTGGTGGTATTATGAATTATGATCGATATTATCACACAGAATCTATGTTAACAAATGGAAAAGTGTTGGTTGCTGGTGGATATTCTTCCTCTCTTGCTGTCTCAAGTACTGCTGAGTTGTATGATCCAGCAACATGGATGTGGACACTTACTGGAAGTATGAGTTATACTCGATATATTCACACAGCATCCGTGTTAACAAATGGAAAAGTATTAGTCGCAGGTGGATATTCTACTAGTAGTGGTAGTTTAAATAGTGCTGAATTGTATGATCCATCGACCGGATTGTGGACACTCACTGGAAGTATGAGTTAGGCTCGATATTATCACACAGCCTCCATGTTAACAAATGGAAAAGTGTTAATTGCTGGTGGATATGATAGTGGAATCGATTGGAATACTGCTGAGTTGTATGATCCATCAACAGGTCTGTGGACAATTACTGGAAGTATGAGTTATTCTCGATATTTTCACACAGCATCAGTGTTAACTGATGGCAAAATATTAGTTGCTGCTGGATATGATGTCACTAGTGGTATTCTAAATAGTGCGGAATTGTATAATTCATCAACAGGTGCGTGGACAATCACTGCTAGTTTGACTTATGGTCGACATGCTCACACAGCATGTGTGCTAATAAATGGAAAAGTATTAGTTGCAGGTGGGGTTGGAATTAGCTCTTCGGAGCTGTATCAACCATAACAAATAAGTCCAGAATGAAAATTGTAGTTCAAAAATGAAATTTTCTGTGAGAAACATTTAATAATAGAATTTTTTTAGTTTACTAATGATTACATTTTCTTCTTCTTCTTCTTAATTACGAATGATTTGTATCTTGCCTTCATTTCCCTCATAATAATAAATTGAATTCGTTTCTTTTTTCTTCAGAAACACTTTATTGTTATAGTAACTTCTTTTTGAAGAAATATCTTCAGACAAAGTATCGTTTTGAAACGAAACTAATGGATTTAGTTAAAATTATTTGAACCAAAAGATTGACCTGTTGATGTGTGTGTGGACATTCCATTATCCATACCGACCCACACAGATACCTACATTCAACCATAAGTAATTGTTTATCAATATTATTAATATAACAATTAATAATCACTGGATGTATTCTATGCATTTAAGTGGATTGGAAAAAGATAAATATCGATACAAGTCACAAATAAATATTGTTGTTGTGATTTCAGTTGCAGATAAAATATTTTGGGATACTAAGCATCATCTCAAAATACAGAGTCGAGTTGTTTTTCTTAATTCAACTAGATTATGCGCCTATCAATAAACAACCCATCAAATTTTTCTTGTTATGATCATTTCTCTGTTGGGTGTCGGTGTGTATGATCTAAGCGTTGCTTATGAAATTGGTGTTGATGTTCACGTTGTTCATGGATTTGAGTGGATGTAATCGTATATTTTAGAATTTGTGTTGTTGCATGTTCACCAGTGACATTGACAATCACGATCTCATGTATATTTATTTCGGATCGAAATGAAATTCATCCTATATACAGCACGAAAAGGTAAGGATATCATTAGCACGAATTCTTTAAAGTTCGACGTAAAATATAGGGTTCCCATCGGTTTGTCAACTGTATGACACTGATGAGTTTTCTTTTTTACAATACTCTTCGCTCTTCAGCGTCATGTTGAATGTTGCGCAGAAGTGAGTGTGACTACCGAGATTAGAATGGAAATTGTTTCGTGACTTATCAGATATAAGTCAGATGTTAATGTGAATGGAATATGTATAATGGATGTCGTGATAAAATGTCGAAGGAGGTTGCAAGTAGGACACTGAAGCTATTGTTATGTTAGAAGACAAATGGTAACATGTTCGATTTTTCTTTCTTTTCTAAGTAACTGATCTGTGATGATAGTCGATCGTTGTTGTGTTCAAGGAAAATAACTTTCCGTTACTCAGAGAAGCAACCGGAGACTGGTGAACTATCCATTATTTTGTTGTCGGTAACTGTAACGTATTTTTTTAATCAGTTCCCTGAATAATCAATAAGCGATCAGTTACTTGAAATTTGGCTAGGCAAGGAAGGCGGAAGCTAAAGTTTCTAGGGGTAGCAAACAAATTTCAAACGAATGCTAATATTAATAAGTTTTCTATTTCGAAACTTATATTTAAGCAACTTTTCTATTATTAAAATATTTTTGTCTAATTTTGCTTTTTTGATTCAAATTCTATTAGAATAGCATCTATGTCAATGTCAAAACAACGCTCAATATTTATTAAAGATAAACTTCATAATCTCGTTTTGACCTATTGTGTTGCGAATGTATATTTTTAGCTTTCTGAATAAGTAAAATATGATCCTAATAAAAAAAATTCTTCAGCAAGAACTGGTCATCGGTCTGGATCTCGTTTAAATGAATCATTTAGTAAAGAATTATATAATGGTTCATAACTATAAATTATCGATGTTACTGCTAATAAATCTATATCAATAAATATTACACAGATGCATGTGAGTGGGTGTGAATGCCGCTGTGGGTTCAGAAGTTCATGGGTGTCACCATCAATCTTACCCACTCAGATACACCCACACCCACCAGTTTTGAGAGAATTAGTAACA